ACTTCAGTAACATCAGGTAAAGTAATATCTCTTTCCACAAGTATTCTGGCCACCGAGGGTCTGGTTAGGTTTAAAGTAGGCAGATCTAGTTTTAGAGGATCCCCAAGAATGACCCCAATATATGGCGTCTTCTCCTGTGCTCAGCTTTGCTAGAGTTTCGCCTCATGGCCAACCCTAGCGTCTAGCGTCTGTTACGGCGTCTTAACGCATCGTCATGCTCGAATATCCTTAATTGGGTCTGTCTCGTTGTGTCTGTCCCGCACTCGTTGTGTATGTCCCGCAGTCCTTCGTCGTCGTTGCCATTCAGAAGGTCTGTTTATCGCTGCAGCCCTTCGTTGTCGTCACCGTTCGAAAGGTTTGTTTTTCGCCGTAGTCCTTTGTCCCTGTTTGGAAGGTCTGTTTCATTCTCTCGCAGTCCTTCGTTTTTTTGAAGGACGTTTCCTGGGCACAGATAGTTCGCGTTTCCGCGGGCTTGTCCGTTCCTCGGGCTCAAAGCAGAGAGTTCGTATTTCTGCCCTCTGCTCAACTTGGACGAGGTTACAGTTGATCCCCCTTTTGACTTTTGATCTTCCATCACTATAACTTCGTTGTCCTATCACCGCGCCTCCCTCTTTTGGTAATGGTTTCAGACAGATCGTATGCTACTGCGCTTACGGGTGTCTACGTCTCAGGTACTCCTAAATCGTGCTCATTCCCTCCTTTGTTTGAGTTGGCGAAGAGCATCAAAAAACCTGGAAGGAAGAATGGGAAGCAAACCATTTTTTTTACGGAAGCTGAATGTAATCAACTTGCTTCCTCTTGTCGTCTGAATTTGGTCGAGAAATTTCTTTATACCCATTCTAAAATGGAGTTTAATCGGAAGGTATTTGAGCTTATGCACCTTATTGAGGAGTGAAAAATTGGATTGTTAGATGGAAGACACATCCTTATTCAACTTAATAATGAAGAGGATTACACATGCTTATTTGCAAGAAGATTAATCTGGATTGACAACAAAGCTATGAAGATTCTGAAATGATAGGTAGATTTTGACCCACAGACGGAACCACCAATCATTTCGGTCTGGATTCACCTCTCTAGCCTGAAATTTCATTATTTTACTCAAAAATTGTTGTACTCTATTGTCTCAGTCTATGGTAAGCCACTCAAAATGGATATTCCTACTTTTAATTTTTCCTGTCTATCTGAAGTCAGGGTTCAAGTTGAACAGGACATCACTTCA